GATAAATTTTTATGTATAATTTATAATTTAATTTAATTATTTATTTTGATTTAATTTTTTATTTAACTACTAAAATATTCACTAGAAATAATTTATATGGCAAAACAACGTTTGCTAGGTCTGCTAGTTAGACGAGAAAAATTCGTCAAATTTGGCCAATATTTTTTATAAAAAACATGCAAACCAAGAAGATATCGCAAAAAATGGATTACAATTAATCAAATATATTTATAAATGTAAAAATGACAATATAACACTGAATCAATTAAGATTTCGAAAATCAATTGACAAGAATTAAATCATCTTTTATATTGACAAATCTCTCACCAACAGAAGGCGTTTGTTTCATGGATTTTAAATTTTTGAGTTTATCAGTGTAACATGGAATCTTACTTTTTTCGAGTAATTAAAGTGTAAATTTTAATAAATAGCTCAAAATTTTACATGATTAAAAAAAAATTCGAATTCGAGTTTTTCGTTTTTTTCGATTTCCTGTGTAAATTTGTATAATTTTGTATATACTTTTTTTTACACCATCAGAAAGCAGAGGTTTCAACGAACAAAAAACACACCGATTTTTTTAAAAAAGCAAACATTTTGACATGAGAATTTTCGATTGAAAATTAGGGTGTTTTTTCGACCTCAGATCAGTAAATTATTTTTCCTTTTATTTTTGTTATATTTTCTTCCTTTTCCAATGGGTATCATCCTGTTTTAAATTTTTTTCTTTTCAAAAATTATCAGCCCTGGCCTATTAGGCAATATGCTTAATGACTAATGGCATTATGCATAATTCCTGTTCCTCTGTTAGTTATTATCAATATTACCTAAACGTTTCCGTTATTGTGCATAATAACTGAAAAATTCAGTAATTCCTAATGTTTCCGGTTATTATGCATAATAACGTATTTCGGATATTAGCTGTAACAGAAACAATTAGTTAAGTTGCTGAGTGCAAAGGACTGTAACTGTCTGTAACTATTAACTTCTTTTGGATAATTTTTAAACAACAGTCAATTCTAGTTGCAACAAAGGCATTTAGAAAAAACTAGTTTTAACTAGAGAAAACCCGTTTGAACTGTAACATATAGGTATGTTTGATTTATTTTAATAGCGTTTTAATCTTGTTCTCATTATCTACTCTGAATTTATTACACTATTACAGTTGGGTAAATAAAAAAAAACTTAATGATATAAACGAAAGTGGCCAACGAATAGAAAAACATATGCTAGAGGACCATTTTTACCAACATAGACATATCAGTCTTATCGCAACAGCTGTTACCTCAAAAGCATAGATAACAAATCAAAGTTAAAGAGCATTCAATCACTAATAGCCAAATTTTCAATTTCATCTAATGTTCTCACGGGCTGTTACAACGTAATAAATTGTAAGTAAAGTAGCATAACAAAACAATAAAATTCAAATTCTTTCCAATCAAATATTGTTATTTATAATATATAGGGTGTTTCTTTTATTTGATATAACTCCTGTAACTTGTTTATTCTTAAAAATAAACCTGTAGTTCCTTGAGCAAATTTGTATGATTTTAAAAGTATGTTATGACAACTTCACATTTTTATTATCATTTCCGGTAGAATCGAAAATGACGTCAACTTTATTTTTTTTTAAGGAACACTACGTAGGTACATTTTAGACGAAAAATTCGAAAATAGTAGCTTGAAAAACTGACACTCATGTCATTTATTCACATAAGTGATCTTTAAATAATGATACAAATGTGCACAAAAAACTAAGTTTATGTTTATCTTTAAAAATAAAAAAGTTATGACAGCTCGGACATTTTTAGATACAACTGAAACATGTTCTCACCAAAAGTGTTGATTTCTATTTTGTCTATGTTAAGTCTCTCTAACTGTGAACTGATTAAATTTGAAAACAAAAGCCAGATTTTATGTGTTACGGATGATGTCAATTCATTGATCTATTTAAATCCACCGCTAGTGCAGAAATCAAGAAATACATCTATTTTGATAGAAAACGACGAAATTTGGAACGATTGGTCTTTAAAACCATCAACAGACGTACTTGTTTCACGAGTTGTGGATAAAAGGTGGGAAGGTAAATGAGTTTTGTAGATTGGTTATACATATTTAAACATTAAATTAAGGTCTCTGGTGATTCATAGGTTATTTGTGTTATAGAATTCGGAACGATTTATAGTGATTTTCTGTATTATGAATCGGCTGCCTCCGTATCAGTCTCAGTACGTTCAGGAAATAACATCACTTTTATAGCAGGCGATCCTTTGCCGTTGTCAAAAGAAACACTGGATTCTACTATTGAATGGATTCATTACACTTCTTATCCGCCACAAAATCACGATGCTACGGATTTTGTAAAGTTTCAGCCTAATGTTACCTCTTCGACCCCGACTTACTGGAAGTTACATGACTGTATATAGTTTTTTTTTTTTTAATTTGTACTTTTGAATACACTTTCATGTTTTAGACAAATTGAGATGGGCTAATACTACTTCAGAAACAACAACCATTTTACCCGTGTCAATTGATGATACCTCATGTTTGATACTGTATGCATATATTTGTGTCTACTGCAATCTGAAAATTACTGTGCAAGGAGGATCAACCTATGAACTTTCTGGCACAAATCAACAATCACCAGAACCATGGCAAAGCTTACGGATCGAATTAGAGTCAGATATTGATGTAGAACTGTTTAGAAGTACAACTAATGGAAGTTCCGCGGGACAATGGGCAATTGACGTTAGAAAATGTCCACCTACGCTGGCAAACAAAAGTAAGTACTTAGGTGTTGATTTGTGTTTTTTTTCACTTAAACTTTGCAGCAATTTACGAAGTGTCTTTGGACGACAATGTCGAACAAGGAGTAAACTGGACATGCGCTCTTGGAACACCAGGAGTTAAACAAACAAATTTGGGAGGATACACAAGTTTCAAAACAAATGATGACATCTTTAGTTGTAATCCTGGAACATTGGGCAGAGAATGTGATATTCAGTGCATAGAAATATTGGGAGAAGAAAACAAGTATTGTGAACAACATGAAATATGCGACAATAGTAACTCAGAGTCGGAATGTTTATGTTCTTGGGGTTATCAAGAACCCACATGCGAACAATGTAATTATAATACATGTTCTTAATGTTTTCAGTATGAATGAAACACACATCTTATATGTCAAAATTTTAGTATGTTCTGGTGGAGATTGGGGTCTGTCTTGCCAAAATAGATGCAGTAACTGTGAATTATGTAATGCGACAACAGGAGAGTGCACATAGTTTTCGTGAGTTGGATAGGTATGTTGTTTGTAATAAGGATTTAAAAAAATTGGCTTATTATTATCATTTTTAGTGAGCCTAATGCCGGCATATGAAAAATTGCGATAAAATTTCTGTTTCCTATTATTAGAATTTAATAAATCTTTAGTGATAAGATAGTTAATAGACACTTACTCATCTAAATGAGTGTTATGTTATCACACTTGAAGATATACTATTACGGGAACTTCAAACTCCTAATTAATGTCCAAAAAAAAAGGCAAAAAGATTACTCATATTTAATAAGAAACGCAAAGCAACACCAAACTTGTTTTAATACATTGTTCGATTTTTGAAAATAGGCATTTTGAATTTTATCATAAGACTCGTAGGTGCATCGAGGAATGAGGAAGGTAATCTGTAAGTGTAGAGAGGGCTCATTTTTTGTTTGCAATTTGATTGCTTAGATTGGATGAAGGTTGTTGTAGTATTCGTTTCCAAAGTTCAAATTGATTCTTACTCTATTTTTTTGTAAGTAAAATAAAGTTCTTGAATAACTGATGATGTTAATTTAGAATTTAAGGTTCTTGTAATAATTGTTTTGTGTTAAATTTTGTGTAGAGTTGAGAATATTTTACTATGACAATTTTTTACATCAAAACTGTTATCCAAAAACCCTTTGTGTTTATACATCATTGTTCTCATTTTTAATGAGGAACTTAAAACTGTAAAAATATACATTTTGATTTATGTTAAAAAAAAACATCTATGGTGTGTAATTTTCCAACGAAACACCAAGTATATTTGACACCAATTTTAACCATAAATGAGTTTCACTAAGTCATTACACTGAATCAAAAAATTGTTTTATTGATTCATGAGAAATGCGTAACATGCCACCGTTCGACGGTTGTAAAATTTAGACATGACGTATCACATTCATGATAATAGTCACAGCTTCCCGGCTTAATTTGATGGCACATATTTTTCTAATCGATTTTTATTATCACAGATCCTTATCTCTACGTTTTGTTCCAAGTGCTGTAAATGAACTGGATAAATTTGCATGCCGAACTATTTTAGGTTTGTTCCTATTATTATTATTATTATTATTCCTAAAAGAAATGTTTGTTTTTGTTCGCTGTTAAATGTTAGCAGACACCAAATAGCTAGTTATTTTTGTTAATGTTTGTTATCCATTTTTTCATTTGCAGTGCAAAACTGGGTTCAAATTATCATCAATAGAGTTTTGTTACTTTCAAAAACGTGCGTGGAAAATACAGTTATATTTTAAATAAAATATCCATGATGTCCCAATTTTTACTTGCCAGACTAGTAGGCCAAATTGTACATAATGGACAAAATTTTGTGTCAGATATCTTCGCTTATTTCTTGACTAAGAAATAATCATTGCACAATAACATCACAACTCTCGAGAAACAATTTGTTAGACCGAAAATTAATGACGTGATAATTAGTTATTTTATAACATAAATTTTCTAAAAGACACTTTCAAATAGATGTAATTCCGATAACACATGACTCATCAAGTACATCATATTAACGCATTTTGAAAGATGTTAAAAATATTACGAACAATTCTACGTACGGTTACACACGTAATACAAATATTTATTGGAGATGGATCTTGTCAGATTCTTATCATATCATTACGCCCAGTTTTCAGATAACGGATAAAAGTAAAATATATATTAATTTCAGAGAGCAAATGTTTCACTAATCTTTATATCATCAATGACAACGAAACATAATTAACTGTAGGTAACGTAAGCTTGATTATATAGATAAAGGTATTTAATAGTTTCCTCTCTGCACATTATTTGCATGTAACAACCAATAATTTTAAAGTTTTAGGCTAAAATGAAAAGGTTTCTGAAGACGCTATTTCCCATTTTGTTTTTACTTGGTGTTTCCAGCAACGAAATAATTAAATTCGAACATGAAAATCATATTTTGTGTATCACAGATGACGCAGAATCACTAATCTACTTAAAACCACCATTAGTAACGAAAACGAGAAATACATCAATTTTAATTGAGAATGACGTAATATGGGATGACTGGTCTTTAAAATCGTCGACAGAAGTCGTAGTACCAGCTGTTCTGGATAAAAGATGGGAAGGTAGGTAATTTCATCTTACATCAAATTTTGTGTGTTTAATTTTGTCTACAATGATAAACTGTTTATTTTACAGATCTAGAAACGAGTTACACTGATTCTTTCCATTACGAATCAGTGTCATCCATATCATTTTCAGTATCTGGTGGCACTAATCTCACCATAGTCATTAGTGAGCCTCCACCAGCTTTATCAAAAGCAGCAAGGGATATTTCTATCGACTGGGTTCATTACACCATGCCTTCAGTGAATGAGAATGCAACTGAATTTGTGCAATTTCAAATTAATGCTACTTCTTCGGAACAAACTTACTTTAAAATACATGATTGCAAGTACTAAAAGACATGTTTCGGATACCCTAACAATTTTTTTTTTCCTTTTCAGATAAACTGAGATGGGCCGACACTGTTTCAGAAACACCGACACGTATATCGATCTCTCACACAGAAATACCTTGTTTTATGTTGTACACTTATGTTGGTTTTTACTGTACTTTACAAGTTAATATAACACGCGAATCTGTACAGTCCTTCTCTCGAAAAAGTCGATGGCAATATCTTAAATATGAGCCGAAAACTGATGTTGAGATAAAATTCTTGAGGGAAACCACAAACGGAGATACGAAAGGGCAGTGGGCAGTGGATATTAGACAGTGTCCACCCACGGTAGATAACAAAAGTAAGTTTTCAAGTGTCTTAAGATTTTAATTAAGATGACATTTCAGTACATTTTTTCAAAATATGCAAAAATTGTCAAACGAACCTTAACTGCGAAATTGAGATGATAATGCATTTTTCATTAAATCAGCTCTCTAATTTATTATAACAAAAGAATTAAGCTAGTTGCCCAAAAAATATCTTTACCTTTTTAAAAATTTTAGCAATTTATGAAATTTCTTTGGAAGACGATGTGGAAAAAGGGGAGGAACGTCGGTGCGTTGCTGGTACGACAACAACGAAGCAAAACAATATTAGACAATTTCCAAGTGTCAAAATAAATGACGATGCATTTAGTTGCAATCCTGGAACCGTAGGAAGGAACTGTGATATTAATTGCACAAATTTTCTGGGATCAGATAAAAGTTATTGTGAGCAACATAAAATCTGTGATGATACTTACTCAGTTTCTGAATGTTTTTGTTCCTGGGGCTACGAAGGAGAAACGTGTAATAAAAGTAAGTACCTACACCAACAAAAATCCTATGTCCTATTGTACAATGTTATTATCTTCAACATTCACGGTTTAACGAGAAAGACGACACTTGTTTGTAGTTTGTTGTTTAACTAAATAATTTACTTATTTTTAGCATGCTCGAACGGAAAATGGGATTTATCTTGCCGTGAAACATGTAAAAATTGTGATATGTGTAATGCGAAAACGGGACAATGCACTAGTTCCGCGCTAAGCAATTTTAGGACAGGTATGTTTCAAATATTGCTAATTATAGTAAGTACATTTTTGTTTTTTAGCCGGCGGACTACTTCTTTTGGGAATGATATTTAAATTTTTGTAACAGTATGCAAACTTGTATTTGTCAAACTAAATATGCATGCATGTGTTTTAGTAATATAACTCTGAATAAACTAATCAAATATTTGTGGTAATTTAGTGTTTCATATTATAAATAAGTAATAAAGACTGCGACTTTTTCTTCATCAAAAGAAAATTACTTTTTAGTATAAATATCCAAATATAAGTGAGTAATCAGATGATTTTTCTCCTCTAGAATTGTGATTATGGCCCTCAAATGGAAATTTAGAAAATTTGTAGTGGCATTTCGTTGAATTTTGGTTGAATTAGTCATCCTATGCTGTTGATGCACAAGCAAGCAAACAGATATTCAGTTATAATAACTTTAACTGGAGTTTCGCAGTCATCGAATGATATTTTGACTAATCATTATTAAACTACATGGTTACCGTATTGTGAGGATCTGTGAATATTCATGAAGATAGAAACACAAATTGAGAAACACTTAATAGATTATGTAACTGAAATAAATCAAAAAGCCGCGGAGACAATTTTAAGCAAACTTTTTGTTTGACCAAGGTGATGAAGAGGAAAAAAAATAACTAAATACTTGCAAATTAACAAAATTTTAAAATAGAGAATCTGCAAGACGTTACAATAAAGAAGATGTCTGGGTAAAGGGCGAAACATTAGCAAGGGGGATGAAAAGATAAGAAATAATGTAGCGCATTGTAATAACCCAAACATCCCGCCTTAAATTGACATGTGAACAAAATTTTAAAAAGCCCGCGAAAGTTTGAAAAAAATAAATAATTTGGCCTTTGTTGTGATCGTCTAACAAACCCTACACTGTGTTTGTTTTTTTTTGACGGAATACGTTCAGATGCAAAGTGGTGGATCCCAAGGTTGGAAAATTACCGCTAAATAAAACACAAAATATATGGAGGATACAAAATCATTTCTTCTTCCACTGACAAAAAAAAAGAAAAAAAAAAAGCTGCGACTAAGTTGTGGCGGCTGAAGACACTTCTTAATGCTCAGCTACAAAAAAAAAACTTGCCTAACTTTGAATGAAATCAAATTAAACGTTCTGTCTGAATCAATGCAAATATTTGAATACCACAAATTTAATAAAAACAAAGAACAAATCGGAAGTAAAGTAATTGGATACAAATACACAAATCATTACCCACGTGTGGAGCGAAATTTAAAATCACGAGCGGAGTTTGGGGCTCCTGATTGTGGCTGTTCTCCTACCCATGACGGTGATTCTACTGTATCGGCAAGCACATGCCGCCCAGGACCCCTCTATCACGAAGAAACGTGCCGCGCTAACATTCCGTTACGGTCGCAAACTCGTGGTTGGAAATCTCTGTTATTGGAACAAGCAGCGCGCGTCACGTCATCTTGACCGCTCCCCTGACTTTCAAGATCCGCGGGTTTTGTAAAGATGACGCGACCGCTAGCTCCACAAAGAACCGCGCACTCCGCTTCTACCACGTGTTTCTGTGTTATTTACCTCAGTTTAGATTAAGATTACAAGATTAAGTTTGGACGTCAGACAATTTATATTGGAAACATTAATCACCAAATATTCACATGTGAAAAGAAACTAGCAAAGATTTATAAAAGCAAAAAAAGTTCTGGTGTGAAGTACAACTTGTGCAAACAAAAAAATTACCTGAGGTCAGGAACTGCAGAGCATGAAAGTTTACGTTCAATTTAAATTGTATAGCAAAGAAAATTACTGAGGTTAAAATTGTGAGAAAGAGAAAAATTGCATGAGGTGAAAAATTCCAAAGCTAACAAAATCACATGAGGTTAATATTTGCCACACTTTATCAATAATTCAAGCAAAGAATTTACATTATGTTAAATTATGCCACACTTTATCAACGATTCAGACAAAGATTTTATATGATGTTAAATCATGCCTTGGTTCAAGCGAGTAGTTGCTTAAAACAATTCACAAAATGCATCCCTCGCCGCGAGAAATACCTCTCGGTGATGTCCAGATGTTAACTGCCTAAGGGAAAAAAATTAATCCCCCCATTCCTTAGTTCACGATATTATGGATTCTGCCTTACTTTCCACGGTCTCATTTCTCAAAATGAAACAACGTTAGGTTAATTAAACTACCGTAAATAAACTATTAATAATCTTGTGTGAGGAATTAAGAAGTGTTATAATGTAACAATTAAGTATAAGCATCCAGAAACCTTATCTACAACTTGATAATAAACAAAGGATGGGTCCTGACTAAGTGACATAATTACACAGTCTACAGAAAATATCGTAATCCATCTACAAGTGGTAAAGTTAGTGGAGGTGGTGTTCTTATTGCGGTGCTTTCTAAATACTCATCAAATGTCCTCCATACCCCAGAAAATCATTGTGAGAATATGTTTGTGTCCATTAACCTGGATCAGCACCATTACATCATTGGAGCAGCCTACATACCTCCTTCTTCTAACGACAATGTTTATCTAAATTATATGTCTTCCGTGGAATTTATTACAGATCGTCATCTATACAGTGACATATGCCTTTTAGGCGACTTCAATTTACCTAATATATATTAGCTGGTTACCTAATTCTAACGCTAATCTTAGCCTTGTTCCTGTTTTAAAATACAATCATATGATTGACAATGTTTTTGTTGATTCACTTAACTATTTGGATATTCATCAGTTTAACCATGTTTTAAATTGTAATAACTCCTGTCTTGACCTCGTACTCTCGAATGTAATAAATGTTAATGTTCAGAAAGACTGCTATAGCATTGTACCGAGTGTTGACGCATTCCTCTATCTTTCGCTTATACACCTCTCTGTAATAACTTAGCTTACAAACTTAACTTCAAAAATGCTCGCTATGGTGAAATTAACGATTACTTTTCTACTATAAATTGGAATAGTTTGTTTTCAACTAATGATATTAGGACAAATTTTGATATTTTTTACAGCGTTCTAAGAACGGCTATTGAAATCTTTATCCCTAAATCTGTTGTTGCTAATAATAAATTTCCAAATTGGTTCTCCAAAGGCACTAAATTACTTATAAAGAAAAAAAAATAGACTATTTAAAAAATTCAATCATAGTCATGATATAGGATACTTTAATAAATTTAAAGAAATCAGAAATTCTGTTAAAAGTTTGATTCATGAAGACTACAAGAAATTTATATCTTACACCGAAAACAATATCAATACCAACCCTAAATATTTTTGGACATATGTCAATTCATTAAGAAAAAACTTTGGAATGCCAAACTGAATGGTACACAATCAGGAAAATTCAAACAACCTTCAAATTATTTGTAATATGTTCGCTGATCTTTTTCAGAGTACATATACAAACCATCAAAACCAAAATATAGACGTCCCTAATTTAGATGTATTCCACAGTAATAATACTCTTAGCTCAATTAAAATTTCAAACGACATTGTATTTCACAAATTATCCAATTTGAAAAATAACTTAAATCGCGGGCGAGATGGTATTCCTGCCTTCTTTATAAAATATTGCAGTCCAACTCTTACTTGGCCAATTACCCTTCTTTTTCAACTTTCTCTCGATTCTGGCACATGCCCTGAACAGTGGAAATCCTCATTTATTATCCCATTGCATAAATCTGGCTCCAAAAATGAAGTTAAAAATTACAGACCTATTGCTTCTTTGTGCTTTTTATCAAAAGTTCTGGATTCTATTGTTTCTGACCACTTAATATTTTTACCTAATCGTAGTACAGTAACTAACCTATTTGAGTATACTAATTATATCAATAACTCAATGGAACGAGGATATCAAGTCGATGCCATTTATACTGACATCTCCAAGGCTTTTGACCGTGTTGATTTACAACTTCTTTTATAAATATTATACACCAAGTGAATCAAACATACGTTTATTCACGAGAAGATGTTGATATCACGAGCACGCAGTGCGAGTGAGATCATTTCTTCGAGTGAATAAATATGTTTGATTCACGCGGTGTATATATGTTTTTATTCCATTTTGACGAATTTTATTAATAAAATTTCAATAAATAAAAATTCGAATCGAGAAATCGTGTAAACTGCGAAACTAATTTTCGTGACAACCAGCTTCACAACCAGTTGTTTACATTTTTCTAAATTTGTGACACTGGCGGCATTTGTGTTTTCCTAGACAAAAATGTCTGGAATTTTGGAAGATAAAGACGAAAACGAAGTGTTTGTACCCTCAGCAGTCCTAGACGAAGCTTTGGAAGCTATCAATAAGGTGGTGCCAGCAAAATACAAGCATTCATATGAAAAAGAGTATACGAATTTTTGTGAATGGAGGAAACGAAAGCATGCAAAAGGAGTAGATGAAAGAATAATTTTGGCTTATATTTCGGAACGGTCAAAAAATGCTAAATCTTCATCACTATGGTCGTATTATTCCCAACTGAAGAAGATGTTATCTGTGAAGGAAAATATTGATATAAGCAGATTTGTGGCATCGCAATGATTAATATAAGGTTTAAAATATTCATTATTATAGATTTCATCAAGTGTCAGCTTTCCTAAAACAACAGTTTGTAGGGCACAGACCAAAGAAATCCAAAGTGTTCACGCTCGAAGAAATGGAAAGGTTTTTAGATGCTTTAGAATGCTTCTGATGATGAATATTTACTGCAAAAAGTAATTTTTGTCGTGGGAGTTTTTGGAGGATGTAGAATGGGTGAATTGGTGGCCATGTCAGTTGATGATGTTGAAGACAGGGGTAGCGTACTTGTAGTCCAAATTCCAGACACGAAGACTCATAAACCCAGAACATTTACCATCATCAATGGAAGTAACTCTGTTCCTGCTATTGACGTTTTTCGGAAGTACAGAATATTACGGCCTGAAAAGATTTCACACAAACGGTTGTTCATTAATTACAAGAACAAAAAATGCACGGTACAACCAGTTGGAGTGAACACTTTTTCAACAATTCCCAAAAAAATTGCCCAATTTCTAGGCCTCCAAAATCCACAAGAATACACCGGTCATAGTTTTAGGCGTTCGAGTGCAACTCTACTAGCAGACTCTGGGGCAGATTTAACAGTTGTAAAGAGACACGGTGGCTGGCGTTCGAATAGTGTTGTGGAAGGATACATAGAGGA